TGTCAAGAATAAAGACGTCTCCTTCTCGAAAATATTGTCGCATAGGCCCATAAGACCTGGTAAATTCTGTGCTCATAATTGTAGCATCATTGGTGGTTGCTTTATATGGCCCCAAGCAATCTAAAATATGACCGTTACAGCACACAATCATAAATGGTTTCACCAGGTTAGTATATTTATGCAAACTGTAAGTTTGCTTTTGGAATAAATAATTGCTACTACTCTGCACATAAACATATGTAGCATCAAATTTGGTGATTGCTGGTTTGGTTTCGACAGGCATTGTTGGGTTTTCATAAAAACCTTCAGGAATCACCATACTGGTTCTTGCTACTTCTTGAACAGTCATGTGACTGAGACCCAAATAGTAAGGAACTAAATGTAATGTCATAACATCTCTCACTTTATTCATCTGACGTTCAAGTGTATATTCGTCTGCTTATCTACCAAAGCAGTCCATCTCGAACTAGTAGGCGACCTGACCTCTGAGGCCTTTATTGGTGCTCTCAAGCGATTTGTTTCTAGGCGAGGAAAATGTTCTCACCTTTGGAGTGATCAAGGTCGGAATTTCGTAGGAGCGAACAAAGAATTAACTAATGCCTGGCAAGAAGCTAATCTCCAATTCAACAGACTGGCGGAGTCCCTTGCATTAGAAGGTACCCAATGGCACTTTATACCAGCCTACAGCCCAAATTTATGAGGACTGTGGGAAGCCGGCGTCAAATCAATCAAGTACCATATGAAGCGCATTTTAACTACTTTTAACTACCTATATGATGTGTTGTTTAGAGATGTAATGAATACTCGATTTAGGTAGTTAACTAAAGTTTATTGTTATCACACGACTCATGTAAGAAATGCACAGAGAAAGGTTTAACCAGGCGGGGGGAGTCGGGTGCGCGTATATATGCGTGATCGCTACCGAGGCTTGTAGCTGACTGCCTGTCGCGTCTCTGCCGTCCGCCTGGCTTAGTACAGAAAATGCTAACATAACATAATAACTTAGGGCTGTCGACACAATAGCATAGGGCTGTCGCCACATACTAATTTAACATTCGAAGAGATGACTACAGTATTGTGTCAAATGGGGGCCGTCCTAAACTCTCGACCACTCTGTGCCATCGACGATGATATCGATAACATTCGACCCCTAACTCCAGGACATTTTATTATGGGTGAAGCTCCTATTGTCATTCCAAGTCCAAGCTTAGAAAACATAAAAATTCACAACCTCACTCGTTGGCAGTATACTCAGAAGCTTTTGGGTGACTTTTGGCGTAGATGGTAGAATGAGTACCTGACCAGATTGCAGCAGAGACCGAAGTGGCTGATAAAAACTAAAGATTTCGAGATAGGTGACATCGTCTTAATCAAGACAGATGGATTACCACCTGGCAAGTGGTCCCTTGGCCGAATTGTCGACAAGCACCCGGGAGCAGACAATCTAACAATAGTTTACAGTGTCAAGAGTGGCGAAACTATTACCAAAAGATCTGTAGCTAAATTATGTGCTATGCCGATTGATGCAAAGAATATTCATCTGCAAGGGTCTTGATATTTTGTTGAAATGTATTACCATTTAGAAATAGTTTTTATACCTACATAATTATAGTGATATTTATTTGTTGTAAAAAGGTCTAGCCCTTTTTGGTGGGCGGTATGTTATAAATAGTACTACCCTTGCATTTAAAAGTTAGTCGCAACACAAGTTCTGTGGAGAGAAGTCGTCGTTTCATTTACTACAAATCCTGCAAGCTATATTCAACCTTAAACACATCAACAGAAGCTATTTCAGATTTTGTTAAAAATCTAAATTTCCAGTAGGAAGTCTTTGTTTCATAGCATGACCATATAAATTGACACAATCTAAGTAAACTAAAAATGTGCTGGGTTCTTTTTCATTAAAGTCTGACAAATATTTATTATTAGCCTTTGCATATCGCATCGAGCATTGAGCAAGGCCTCCTCTGATTCCTTTTTCTAGCATTTGATATATTTCTATATCAGATATTAAATCTAATTCTACTTTAGTTAACAAGAGCATGGCGTCCCAGCTTAATAACGGTGATGAAACATAATGACAAGGATCAAGCTCATAATGACATAAACTCATAGATCGGAATTTCTCAAATATGTCACACAATAGTAAGACATCACATTTCAAATATAAATCAGTATATTCACCTAAATTCTTAAGACCAAATTTAGCCCACACATTTAAAGCGTGATTGTAATCGTCAGTAGACACTATATCGGATGTGAGTTTATTATAAAAATTTAAGCGATCTGGTAACTGAGTTTCTGCATATCGTTTCCTGGAGTTTATATAATCATAACAATATACACCTTTCCTAAGGCATAGTTGAAATAAATTTTCATCGGTGAAAAACGATGGTAAATGCTTTAAATCATTGGAGTCCAGTGTTTTTACTAAGTTGTCTAAGCTCGAACTTAAGAAATTAAAAGAATCTATAAATTTTAATTGAGCTACTTTCTGAGAATTAAATAAGAAAAATTTAGTGAAAGAAATGTATTTTTCCTTGGTTCTTGGAATTAAATTGATTCGACCGCTAACACTTGAAAGTTCTTTTATAAATAAATGACAATCATATCCTGAAAGATTATGAAAAATTATGGGAATATATTTTACAAACTTATTATTTAAGTTGCATGAATTATGAGCTGAACCGCGATATTTACCTGTGAAATGATCATGGTCTTGAACGATACAATCATTATTAGAATATATTTTTTTACAAATGTGACATACTGTAGCAGTCTTAAGTGAAAGAATCTCTTCATTATTCAACGGGGACATGTCTCTAGGCGAAGATAAAATGTCATATAAACTTTCTAAATCCTCAGCAATGGATTCTACAATTTTTTTTTTACAATTTGGACCTAGATAAGATACTAAATTATTAAGTTCTGGATTATTATCGCAGCATATATAATAGGCGAAACAAGTTGCTTCATGAATTTGTATGCTTTCGACATACTGACTTTTATTTTTATCTGAATATTCACGAAGTAAGCTTTCAAAGTCTCCATAAATAAGAATTCTTTGAGGTATTCTTTGAGTCCTTATATAATTAGAAAACCGAAGCTTGCTATTCTCTTCTGGGAGCACTGTTTGCATTCGTGCACAGTTATGATTATCTAATTTTGCTTCTGAATCAAAGTATATAAAACATTCATCACATAAGTGAATTTTAGATTTGTGTTTTGTCAGTTGATCATGAACTAATCGAGCAAAATTTTTTATTAAACAGAAATGACTTTGCCTGCTCTTTCAATTAATAATAAATTTACGTGGGTCAGTTTTCGTTGTAAAGTTTTGTATAATGGTCCAGTAATTGTGTTATTTTTTTCTAAACTATAAACATTTACACTTATATGCGTTTTTTTTTTTCGAATTCTTTAATGTCATCAAATGTTGGTGGGAAAGATATACCATTTATAATTAATAATTGAGAGTAATGTGGATATGATGAAATTCTATTACTGTTATACCGTGCTGGATACATATGTGCTACAATACACCAGAGAAAACAATGTATGTCTTTATTGTAAATGTTAAGACATGATTTTGTTTTAACAATTTTTACCGGTAAAGATTTGTAACTACCAGCTTTTAAGGGATTATACTTAACTATATTTATTTCCAAATGATTAATCGACTCTAAAGCCCAACCAGATTCTGATAATTCAAATTCTGTACGCTTATACAGCAATTTCTGCACACATTCTTCAAAAAATAATTTTATATTAGTATTCGGAAAAATCACATTATACTTTGTATTGAAAGATTTCATAGACAATTCTTCATTTTTAGGTAATTTGTACAATACAAAAAGCTCAAATTGTATCTGAATCGATGGATGTTTTAACCGCAATGTCTCAATAATCTTGTAAATATTGCTAGAAATATCTGATAAAAATATATCTAGCGATATGTTATATAAACTCATTGGATTAAATCTGTAACTAGCAATTCTATTTTTGAAAGCCGTAGCTATTTTTTGCACATTATCAAATTCAGTACTCAACAAACAGTTTGATTTATGTATATTACTTTTCTTATGTGATGAATATTTTTGGACATATTAATAAATCTTACAATCTGTGCGAAATTTCATTTTTGGTTATGTAGAATAGAAAAAGTAAAGCAATAATTCATAAATTTTACTTTAATAGTATATTCACCAAAAATAAATCTTTTATATATTTATTTTGACCAATATTGTTTAAATTTTGATTTAAGTACTTCAAGGTCAAAATTACTGGTCTGGAATTTTCAAAATTAAGTTTCAAGGTCATAATTACAGATCTGGGTTTTTTAAGTACTTAAATAATAAGATTTATGGTCATTTAAGCTTTGAGATTAATTTATTCGAGTTTATTGGCTTTTTGGTTTTATTTATTCGAGTTTATTGGCTTTTGGTTTTATTTATTCGAGTTTATTAGTTTTTGGTTTTTAGATTTTGGTTTACTGAAAGAAATCACACAAATAATGATTAAGAAAATATATACGAAAAGTACTTATGCAAGATTATATTTTATTACAATTATCTGAGGAAACAAACATTAAAAATACATACTTAAATTAAAACTAAAGAAAATAGAATAAACTGACGAAGTGATCTTTACAAACCTTTGTCTATAAAAAAAATGTTTTTTAATCAAATTTATACATTATTATAACAATAAAAAAACAAAAATATGATGAGTCCTTTAAGCAAATTGTCGTAAGACACTAACCTAATTTTTAAAATACGTTAGACTGATAGAGTATCGGCTGTATCTGCCGATAATCTTCTTTAGCAGCTTCTTTAACAAGTTTTGTGACTGCTTTCCATACCGGACTGCTGTTATCAACAGCCGATTTGAATGTAACTAGGGCCCGTTTCCAGCGGTCGGTTCCCGAGCGTTTCCTCCGCTTCCCGAGCGTTGTAAACATGCAGTTCCACGTAGTAGTTGCCCTGCCGGGTGGGATCCCGCTAGAGTGTATAACCGGAACCGCTACGTCTTGATAAGAAGCTCCGCAACGCAGCCGCTCGGAGGGGTTCACCGCCGAGTTCTAGCTCGTTCTGAAATTAAAATGATTATCATTAGAAAATTAAAAACAATAGCGTGAAAGAACCTTCAAAAATATATTGACCCATAAATTTTCACTGGCCCCGGGGAATAGTATTTAGAATATCTTAGTCAGTAGGTATGTGAACTAATATGTAAAAATAATGAAAAATCAAAATTTAAGAGACCCACATGTACAACTAAAAAACTTCAGCATAGGTAGGTACCTCTGAATCCGTCTGCTTCCTTTTTTTACTTGATGTCGATGGCGCTGACAAATCAACATCCGACTCCGTCTCGGACCCAATAAAGCTGGATTTTACATCCAGAGCATTGGTCTTTGTCCGTTTCTTTGTTTTGTCGACAACCTTCTTCCTTTGCTTCTTTTTTTCTACCGACGGTGCTAGCTGAGATGCTGGTATTTCACAGTCAGAATCGAAGGGATTGGTAGACCTAAAATTAAGAATGCCATAAATAAATTTCACTCATAACTTCAATTAACTATTACATATACATACAGGGTCTACCAATAGGGATGACCTGGTTTTGACAGCTCATAGCGGCCATGTTTGATGATGGATCTTTGACGTCTCTTGACATATGTGTTCAGTAAGGTTTGCCATTTTATCATGTCACGTTTCACTTTAAACCAACGCTTTGAAATTGACAAAATTATTACGCAAATTCGCGTTCTCCTACCGCAACAGTAAGAGCGCTTCGCGCAAAAAACGGTCGTCATAGTGCTCCTTCTGTGCGCGCTATAAATCGCATAATAACAAAATTTGAAAGTGAATTCACTCTCAACGATACTGCTGTGCCTATGAGACAAAGAAATGCCCGTACTGAAGAGAATATTGCAGCCGTTCAGGCCAGTGTTGATGCGAATTCAAATCGATCAGTTCAACGCCGTTCACCAGAGGTGGGGTTCTCTCCAATGACCACCTGGCGTATTTTGCGGTTGGATTTGGGCCTACACCCATACAAAATTGTTTTGGCACAAGAATTGAAGCCGATTGAATTTGAATTGATCGACCGATCATTGATTGAATCCGACCATTGTATCCGTCGTGAATTTGCCGATTATGCACTGGAAATGATGGAAGCTGATGACGATTTTCATCGTAAAATCATCTTCTCAGATGAGGCCCATTTTTGGCTCAATGGATCTGTTAATAAACAAAATTGTCGCTATTGGAGTGAGTCAAATCCACGTGTGATTCATGAATCACCATTGCATCCGCAAAAAATAACAGTTTGGTGCGGTTTCTGGTACGGTGGAATCATTGGTCCTTACTTCTTTTAAAGTGACGAAGGAAACCCTGTTACTGTGAATGGCGAGCGCTATAACTCGATGTTAACCGAATATTTCTTTCCGAAATTTAATGATATTGATGCAGACGATCTTAATTTTCAACAAGACGGTGCACCACCTCACATTACTCGAATGAACATGGAATTATTGCGTGGAAAGTTTGGTAAGTCGTTAATTTCGAGAAATGGACCTATCAGTTGGCCACCAAGATCGTGTGATTTAACATCTTTAGACTATTTTCTTTGGGGTTACGTTAAAGTGTACAGCAATAATCTAGCTACAATTCGTGACCTAAAAACCAACATTCGACGAGCCATAGCCGACATACCGGCCGAAATGGTGCACCGCGTCATCGAAAATTGGCGTGAGCGGGTGACCGTCTGCAAAAAGAGCCGCGGCGGTCATTTGGCCGATATATTATTTAAAACATAAATTGCATAAAATTATCCATCAAATAAATCAATCGGATGCATTAAAAATGGTGTGTTTTATTCAATTTTTAAACCAGGACGTTCTTATTGGTAGACCCCACATATCAAATTTATTACTCGTTATTTATTTCTTTATTTATTTCCTTATTAAGTAATAATTGTAGTATTATACATACATACTTGTTGTTCTTATGTTTAAAAATAATATTGAAAAGAAAAAAGCTGTCAGTATACGGGATGCGTGCTAATTAAAATGAAATTATTAATTGCAGTCCTATTTATAGACTACATTTTTTAAAGCGGTGGTTATAGTAGCAAATCGCGAACAAAATGAGGAAGCGATTGAGATATATGTGCTAAAAAATTAGTTCTATGTTATCAACAAATAGAGTCTAAAATTTATTGAATGTTACTTACTTAATATGATCACATCCTTACTTTGCATGTTTGTCGACGGTGCCGCTCTGTCGCGTATACCTGAGACGATTTTCTAAAAAGGAAGTGGTATGTACCCTATTGGTCTAGTGGTTCGATTCCCACTGGATTTCTGGATAATTCTTTACGTGATGATCGCGATATTTATTCAGTGTCTGGGTGTAATTTATAAATAAAATGTATGTATTTTTCCGTTGTCTAGATAAATAATACAAGCTCTATAAGCTTGAAAGGGACTAGATGGCACTGTGTAATATGTTGAAACAATATTATATCATATAATTATTATTATTAACTAAGTAATTATCACTGGGCAAATTTAATGGCAAATTAAGTATCTATTTGAAAAAATGCATCAATCAGCATTTTTTTCTCACCTTTATAAATTAGTTGTAACTGGTATGAGAATTCTTTACACTCTCATAAGTGTAATTAACAAGAAAGTAATATAATCTTATTTTCATTCGTACTATGGCAAGTAGTAAAAAGGAATGTCTAATTAGAGGATCTATTGATTAGATAGTATATATATGATACAATATCGTTGTTAATGCCAGTAATAATAATAATAATAATAATTTATTGACAATAACAATAAGCTTACATTAATTTCAGAATGCTCTGGCTCCTACACTAGTAGATACTGTGTTGCAGGAGCCAGTGTCCTCCCCAATTTACATAGACAGTCAAAATTTTGGTATAATAAATAAAAAAAAAAGAAAGAAAGGAAAAACAAAATCAAAATTTAAAATAATAATCAATTCATGCGCTGTGTGTGTGTGTGTGTGTGTGTGTGTGTGTGTGTGTGTGTGTGTGTGTGTGTGTGTGTGTGTGTGTGTGTATGTGTGTGTTGGAATATATATATGTGTGTTAGGGCATAAGTTGGTTGACTAAGGTAATAAGTTCATCACTTATCGACTCTTAATAGATTTTCAACAGTGTCGTAGTCCATTGTACTCAGTCAGGTATGTACAACTCTTTTAAGTTTTAGATGACTGAGCTTTTTTATTTTTTGTATCTTGTTGCATTTATTGTATATGTAAGGGCCAAGAAAATTAAAATGCCTTTGCCCAGAAGCACTTTTTGTTCTAGATACCGGGCAACGTTCTACACGTTTGTTTGACACAGGTAAGGTTGACATAATTTTTTTATGGTAGCGTCTTAGGATCCCATAAATAAACATTTTCCTTACAGAGAGGACGCCAGCCTTTTCGTATACTGCTATAGTGGGATGCCTGTACGGTAAGTACATCAGCACTTTTAGAACCGCACGCTGGGCCCTCTCTGCAGTCAAAAGGTAAGTTTTACCTGCGCCTCCCCATACACAGATGCAATATCTGATGATGCATTCACATAGTGCTTTGTACGTCCCTAGTAAGAGGTCTACATCCCCGATGTTACGTAGATTTTTAAATATGTGTATACTTTTTCTTATTCTAGTTGTCACAACCGCTATTTGTGGGCCCCAGGTAAGTTGGATGTCTACTGTTATACCTAGATACTTAATGGAAGCTACACGGCATAGGGTTGCACAGTCTCATTTAGAGCGATTCACTCCTCAATTACAGGGATACATGTGTATTTTAAGATTGTGTTTTGCAGATGGTTGGCTCATAACTGATTTACTGAAGCAGAGATATTTTGTTTTATTGCCATTTAGCGATAGAAGACTATCTTCTAGCCAAGCAGTAGTTTTAGATAGGCCCTGCTCTGCTGCATGAAACACCTTGTCCCAGGAATCTTCATGAAAGATCAAAACTGTATCGTCTGCAAACATAATGATGTCCATGTTCGATCGAGTAACAACATTACATAATTCGTTAACGTAAATGATAAATAAAGTAGGGCCGAGTGTGCTGCCTTGCGATACACCGTATCTGCAGACGGCGCCGTCACTTTCGATTCCTGCCACTCGTACACATTATGATCTACCTGTTAGATAATCTGTGAACCATTCCAGAGCGACTCCTCTTATGCAAACGTTTTCCAGCCGTGTCAACAAAATCGGTGTAGATACAGTATCAAAAGCTTTTTGGAGAACCAAAAAAACTCCTAAACATTTGTCACCTTTCTCTATATTTGTTACTATATTCGATGCCAGTGTTAGAACAGCATCCTCCGTTGATTTTTTTGCCCTAAAACCAAATTGACAGTTTAAGCAACTGTCAATTTGGTTTTGGCATTTCATTTTTTTTCCAGATAGTTGATTAGTCTTTTGTTAACTATTTTCTCTAATATTTTTGACATCGTTGACAATAGAGATATGGGTCGATAGTTTGATGGTTCACTTTTTTCACCCGATTTAAATATTGGGCAAACCACAGCTTTTTTTAAATTGGCCAGGAAGGTACCGGTTTCCAAACTCTTATTGCATAAGTACGTGATGGGTAAGGCAAGGGTTAAAATATTTTGTTTTAGTATTGTTGCAGTGATTTTGTCCCATCCTGGTGCACTATGCGATCTGAGTCCCATAACAATACTTCGTACTTCATGTGGATCAGTCGGTGTGAGGGATATAGACTTCAAGGGCGTGTTATTGGTTTTTGCTTGCCTTGCTAGATCTTGTTCCCGGAGACTCATTTTATTTAGTAGCTGATTAGCCAGTGTACTACCTACTGAAGTAAAATATTCATTAACTTTGTTTAGGGATGTTTTAGAAGTGACGTCAATATCAAGTAGTTCATTAGAGGGTTCATTTTTGCGATTAAGACTACAAAATTCTTTCACAATTTTCCAAGTTTCCTTTATGTTCCCTCTATTTATGTGTATTTTTTCTTGGTAATATCTATTCTTAAGATTTTTTATAATAGAATTGCACACATTTCTATATTTTAAGTATTTTTGAAGTTGTTGTGTATTGTGGGGTGACTTTTTTGCTTTTTTGTGTAGGACATCTCTCTTTCTTATACTTTGCACAACTCCTTTTGTGATCCAGGGTTTAAGTGGTCTAAAACGGTTTGAAGGTCTTAGAAATTTGGTATTACAGTCTATTATATTTACCAGTTCATTAGTTATTATTTCTGACGCTATATTAGTATTGTCTACATTATATAATTTATCCCAGGATAGTTTCGTAACTGTTTCTTTAATATTGCTGTAGTCTATCTGTACTTTATTACACACAAATTTCTGTTTTTTAATTTTACATTTGTTTATGTACAATATAATAGGTGAATGGTCAGTTAATTTTTGTTCAAATACTATTGTTTTCCAAGTAGCGCAACATTTTACCATGAAGTGGTCAATACATGTAGCAATTCGTGTAGGCTTAGTAATACCTTGTTTAAGTCCGTACGTGGCCATTAAATTAAGGTAAACATGTGCTGATGTTGATAAGTTCCCAGGCATGATATCAATATTTACGTCTCCTCTTAGTATAATGTTTTTCGTACGAGTATTGCTAAGCAGTCTATTAAGAGATTCAACATATGAGTTCGTGTTCCTATAGCTTGGAGAACGGTAAGTACCAATTATTGTGTAATCAGGTTTAATATAAATATATAGACAATTTCCCTCCGAAAAGAATTCAGGTTCAAAACATAAACGTCTATTGTACTCCGAACCTACACAACCACTCCGTCATTCTGGTTTCGACTAATTTTAGTCCAAAACTTCTTATAATTATCAATTTCTGGAGGTGGTTTGTTTATACTGGTCCAGCACTCTGTTAATACAATTACGTCCAAAGGCATATTTATTGCAGAAATAAACGCTAAAAAGAGATCAAAATTACAGTTTATGCTTCTTATGTTTAAACTAATAATTGTCATCGCCCGTGTGTTCGCGTTATACTTCAATAACTGTGGACATTGTCCAGAGTCACTTAGTGTCAAGCATTCGACTCGCTCAGTTGAATCCAAGTCCTCTGCAATGTTGTTATTGTTACGATCGAATTGTAATTTTAATTTGGGGTGACGCAAAAAAAGAAAATAAAAAAAACAAAATAAAAAAGGTTGTTCATGTCCAGACTTATTCAAATGTATATATAATTAATTAGGCAATTCATATTTATTGAATCAATATCACGAACATAGTCAAACTACTTATATTTACTTTATGATGTAGCCAATTTCTGCATTTTAAAAATTCAAACACACGAAATACTATATTAGTAGTACATAATTTAATTGTGTTTGCGATACGTGATTTCGGGTAGTTGTGAAATAAAAGTTTAGAGTTGTATTTATGCCTCTTGGAGTGTATGCTTAATGATGCATGTGTTTTATATTTTAAACTGATACAGTACATAATATAATATAATATAGCACGTTGATTTTTATTTACTGGATACGTAATATTACAATACATATAATATGATATAACATTTAGATCGTTATTTACGGCATACGTGATATTATCTTTATTTCGAGCATGATATTGGTGCTAATTCTGTTGTTCAAAAACTCTCTAAACTAAACTAAAAATCACTAAAAATTGGTTTAGTCCTGTCAAATAACGTTTGGTATTCTGAAAACGTAATACTTGATAGGACTAAACAAATTTTTAGTGATTTTTAGTTTAGTTTAGAGAGTTTTCGAACAACAGAATTAGTACCATTGTATTTTATATAAATATTTCGATGTAATGATTATGATATTGTATTGTGGGTGGTGTTTAAGTTGTTGTAGTTGAAGATCGCATTGGTTTATAAAACAGTGATAGTAAAGCTTGTAGTATATGTAAAGAAAATATATATTCTTTAATTTATTGTCTACAATGTCATCTAAGTGAAGAATTTTATTATGCTGGCAATATTGTGAGAAAAAAGCGCTTAAAAAGAGTGACTAACAAAATTGGAAATAAAACTACAAAATATAAAGGGAATTTAGAATTAAAATAATATACTTTAATCGCCGTTTCTTTGTTTTACAGGCAAGATTAAAGATATTTGCAATAGATGCGTAGATGTTATAACGATTTACGTTAAATAAAAAACTTTGTTTTACAGAGCAACACGTGGATATTATTTGTTCTTAATTCCCATAAAATTACATTATAAAACGACGATTT